TATGTCTTCTTTGGAGAAATGTAGAATTTTTTTCATGGTTATAAAAAAAAAAATTTTTTTTTAAATTTTCTTTAAAAAAAATTTTTTTTATACAATTTTTAAAGGTTACTTTCCATTAATAGTTATTACAAAATGTTGGTTATATTCCCCATGTTGTACAATACAACCTTGAGCCTATCTTATATCCAGTAGTTTGAACTCCCACACTTCCACCCCTAAGGTGCCCCTCATCCCTCTCCCCACTGGTAACTCCTGCTTTGTTCTTTGTATCTGTGAGTCTGCTGCTCTTTGGCTGTATCCACTAGTTTGTTGTATTTTTTTATATTCTGCATATAAGTGATATCCTATAGTATTTGACTTTCTTTGACTTATTTCACTTAGCATAATGCTGTCCAAGTCCATCCATGGTACTGTAAATGGCAAAATTTCATTCTTTTATGGCTGAGTAGTATTCCACTGTGTACATGTATGTGTGTGTGTGTGTGTGTGTATGTATACCCATACGCGCACACACATATATACACACACCACATCTTCATCCATTCATCTGTGGATGGACACTGGTTGCTTCTATACCTTAGCAATTGTAAATAATGCTGCTATGAACATTGGGGTGCATGTATCTTTTTAAATTAGTGTTTTGGTTTTTTTTTTTTTAATGGACAAAGTTCTTATTATTTATTTTTGGCCACGCCATGCAGATCTTAGTTCCCTCACCAGGGTTCCAATCCAGGTCCCCTGCAGTAGAAGTGCAGAGTTTGAACCACTGGACTACCAGGGAATTCCCAGTAATTTGTCCTTGATGCTGCTAAGTCATGTCAGTCATGTCCGACTCTTAGCAACGCCATGGACTGTAGCCTACCAGGCTCCTCCATCCATGGGATTCTCCAGGCAAGAATACTGGAATGGGTTGCCATTTCCTTCTCCAATCCATGAAAGTGAAAGTGAAGTCGCTCAGTCATGTCCGACTCTTAGCAACGCCATGGACTGTAGCCTACCAGGTTCCTCCATCCATGGGATTCTCCAGGCAAGAATACTGGAGTGGGTTGCCATTGCCTTCTTTTTTTTTTTTTTAAATGTATACCCAGGAGTGGAATTGCTGAGTCATATGTTAGTTCTGTTTTCAGGGTTTTTGTTCGTTTGTTTTGTCTATGCCAAGTAGCATGCAAGATCTTAGTTCCCCAACCAGGGGTAGAACCCCAGTCCTTAGCAGTGAGAGCCTAGAGTCGTAACGTCTAGACTGCCAGGGAATTCCCTATTTTTAATTTTGTGAGAAACCTCTATACTGTTTACCACAGTGGTTACACCAATTCACATTCCCAGCAATAGGGCCAAAGAGTTCCCTTTTCTCCGTATCCTTGCCAACATTTTTTATTTGTGTTCTTTTTGATGATAGCTGTCTGGACTGGTATGAGGCAATATGTCATTGTGGTTTTGATTTGCGTCTCCCAAAGACAGTATTTTGATTGTCTTTTTTGCCTTTATCAGTATATTTATTTTCTCTTCCTTCATGTTTAAGTTTCATCTGAGACATATTCCTTCTATCTTTCATACAGGTAGACTGGTGTCAAATTTTCTCGGCTTTTGTTTGTTTGAAAATGTCTTTGTTTTACATTTCTTTTTAAAGGATATTTTTCCTGGTATGGATTACTAGGTTGGAAGGTATAAACTTTCAGCAAAGTTCAGCATTTTGAAACTTTCATTCCATTGTCTTCTAACGTCTGTTGTTTCTGTTGAGAAATCAGATAGTGGTTTTATTATTGCTCCTTTGCCAGTGGCGTGTCTTTTCTTTAATTTTTAAGTTTTTTCTCTTCATGTTTGGTTTTCACGTTTTACTGTGCTATACCTAGGTGTGTTTTTCTTTGAATTTTTCCTGCTTGGGGCTTAAGGTATTTCTGAAATCTGGCTTGGTTTTGTGTTTGTTTTCCCCCAGTTTTGGAAAATTTGCAGCCATTATCTTTTTTTGTTGTATCATTTTTGCTAGGAGAAAAATAATTTTAATAGCATGCATCCTTCTTTTTAAAGATTGCTTCTACTCCATTTTCACATTTCTCCCTCTGGGACTTTAATTACACATATGTAAGACCTTTTCTACCACTGTTTTCCATATTTCACCTGCTGTCTTCATGTATATAGATTTACCATCTTTTTGTGTCTCTAGATTTAGTGTATATATATATGTTTGTTTGGGCCTGGTCTTCTAGTTGATTAATTATATTTTGAGCTGTCTAATAAATTACTGATTTTTGCATGATTTTTTAGTTCTGGAGTTTTTATTTGTTTCATTTTTGTTTCCAGTTCTCCTAAACTGCTGCATTTTTTTTTTTCCTTTGATCTTGAACAAAGGTCAGAGTCTGACAACATCCATATTTGGAACCCCTGTGGATATTTCTGCTGTCAGTTGTTTCTGTTGTTTCATGTTGTCTAGTATTCTAGTGTTCCTGGAAATCACCAGTTGTGTGCCAGACATTGTATTTGGAGAATGAATTATAGCCATTTGGAGCTCAGGACTTCCTCCAGCAAGGACTGATAACTGCTTTTGCCAGGGACACGAGCATTCTAAGGTCATCTTGGCCTGATTGCAGAGACTGAGATGAGTAGAAGCTGAGCTCCTTGCTGAGTTTCTCCTTGGTGTTCAGGACCTCAGTGGTTAAGAATCCACCAGCCACTGATTCATGTCAACGTATGGCCAAAACTACCGCAATGTTATAAAATGGTTAGCCTCCAATTAAAATAAATAAACTGAAAAAAAAAAAAAAAACAAAAGAAAGGCAGAATAGAATGAGTAAGCATGTGAAACTTTGGGCCAGATACAGAATTTATATGGAACAGAGAAAAATCTTGACTTACAATCTAAAATATAAAATTATCTTAAAGGCATTTAAAATAAAATTTGAATTGGTAATTAAACAACTTTAAACTGTAAGTATGTTAGACCTCAATAAAATAGTTTTTTTAAAAGACAAAAAAAAAAGAAAAAAGAGAATCTGCCTGCCCCTACAGGACATGAGAATGCAATCCCAGGAGGATCCCCAAAAGTAGGAAATGGCAACCCACTCCAGTCTTCTTGCCTAGAGAATTGCCCTTCTGAAATAGGCTGGTGCCCCTAGGTGAAAGGGGGCTTTAGATGCCAGGCCCACCTCCATGGAGTCTCTTCCCACTCTGCCCCCCCCCCCAACCTTGGTGTGCCTTACTCTGTTATTGCTGGCCAAAGCCTGCACACTGATTTTTTTTGAAAATATTTTTCCTTAGCTTTACTTGTCCTTTAAATTTAGTAGTATATAGTTGTTTCTAATTCTCTTGAATTTTTCTGTTTGTTTCTTGACTTTTTTTTTTTTTTTTTTGAGAATTTTCAAAAACATACAAAAGCAGAGAGAACAATAACCCCATATGTTCCACATACCTCCTACTACTTTCGTTTCCTGGGTGCTTTTAAAACCAATCCCAGACAGGAAAACATCTCCTTAAATGTTAGTTTTTTTTTATCAGTACAAGTGAGTCCTTTATTACTTTTTTTTTTTTAAATAATTATTTATTTGATAGCATTGGGTTTTAGTTCCATCATGCATGATCTTTTGTTGTGGTGTGTGGGCTCTGTAGTTGTCGTGTGTACTCAGGCTTAGTTGCCCACCACGGCATATGGGATCCTAGTTCCCCGCCCAGGGATCAAACCCATGTCCTCTGCATTGCCAGGCAGATTCTTAACCACTGGGCCACCAGGGAAGTCCCAAATGAGTCCTTTAAAAAGAAATATGATCGTGTATCTAGAATACACTTGGCACAATTACCAGCAGTTCATTAGTAGCTTTTAATACTAGTCTTCAGTTGCCTCCACTTGTTTCCCAAATGCTTTTTTTTGCAGATGGTTTGTTCAGTTCAAAGTTACTATTATTTTTTGGGGGGATGGATCTTAGTTCCTCTACTAAGGATTGAACCCCGGGCCACAGCAGTGGAAATGCCGAGTCCTAACCACTGGACTGCCAGGAAATTTCCAGTTACTACTTTTTAAAACCTCTGTTGTCCTTATTGTTATTTACCTCTTTTCATTTTGTACTTTTGTCTTCTTGCCTCTTTTCTCCTTTTCTTCATTAGTCTTGCCAGAGGTCCGCCAGCTTTGGTTCTGTTCATCTTCTCTGTTGCTTTCTGTGGCTACTATTCTCTTTGATTTCGCACTTATCTTTGTTAATTCCTTCCTTGTTTTGGGAGTTTGTTCTATTACATTTTCCCTATCTTCTTTAGTTTCCTACCATATCACTATCAAAGCTATACACTTCCTTCTAAGAATTCTTTACCTGTGTTTCACCAGTTTTGATCAGTGGTGTTTTTATTTTCATTTGGTTTTACAGATTTCTAAATATTCTCTAATTTCTTATTTAAGCTACAGCTCTTCTGTTGTTGTGACGTGTTGGTTTCTCAAGGTATGAGAGTTTTTGTTTTATTTTTAGCTTTTTGTTTTTAACTTTATGATGTGGGTCTTTTGTTACTGATTTATAACTTCATCCCATTGTAGTTGGAGAAAATAATTTGTATGATAGCTATCTTTTCAGATCTCTTGAGACTGGTTTTGTGGCCTAGTGTGTGTTAGTATTTAGTCACTCAGTGATGTCCAACTCTTTGCGATCCCTTGGGCGGTAGCCCACCAGGCTCCTCTGTCCATGGGGATTCTCCAGGCAAGAATACTTGAGTGGGTTGGCATTTCTTTCTCCAGGGGTTTTCCCCAAGGTCTCCTGGATTGCAGGACGGATGTTTTTCCTGTCTGGGCCACCTGGGTGGTCTCTCCTAGAGAATGTCCCATGTGTGCTTTAGAAGGATGTGTGGCTTTGTAGCCTGAAATCCTGGTATGTGTGGCATCTGTCCTCTGGAGGCCACCAGGGCCCCACCTTTCTGGCCCATTATGGGGTTGGCTTTCGTGCATGTTCTGTGTGTGTGCTAAGGTTGTGTTTGTTCCTGGCGTGCTGGGTGGGGTGCAGGTGGTTAATTGTGAGATTTCCTCTTTGCAGTGTCCTCACCGACGAGTTCGACTCCCGCTTCAACAACGACCCCATGCCCAAGTACGTAACCTGCAGGCTCGGTACATCTTCCTGGCAGAGGTGACGGGGTGGGGGGCTCAAGAGGGCTGCGGGGACTGGGGTGGCACAGAGTCATTGGGCTATGGCCCCGGAGAAGCTGTTGCCATGTCTGAGCTCCAGGACCTTTGATCCTTGTGTCGGGAAGTTGTCTTCATCATTGTGTTGGGGATTGGGGTGACTGGTTGACAATTGAAATGCTGAGGGTGGAGGTTCACACTGACCTTGGTGATAGTTTGGGCTGTAGGTGTAAGTGATGGGAAGGGGGTGACCGTGATGGGGACGATAGTGGCAAAAGGTGATAGTGATCAGGTGGTGGCAGCAGGGAAGAGGTGTTGGGGGCTACAAGGCTGAGTGTGTGGTAATGGTACTGTGGTGGTGGGGATAGAGTGATGATGAACGATGGGCCATGTGGTACTGGGGCAGGCGTGCGTGTTCGTGTTGATGGTGGAGAGGTTGATGGTAATGGGTGCTATGGTGGCGTGTAGTGGGGTGACAGGCAGATGTATGATAGTAGGACATGATGGTGGTGATGGGGGACAGTGGCAGGGAGGTGTTGGTGTCATGGTGGCAGTGGTGATGGTGAGGGGCAGTGATGGTGCAGGGTGTATGGTGATGGGGTGGTAAAGTTTGGTAAAGATGCTGCAATAACGGATAGTGCACCGTGTCATGTCTCGGTCTGACATCCAGCCAGTGTGGGCCTCTTCCTGGGGGGCACCAGGGAGGGCTCTGGGCAGTGCTGGGGTCTGAATGGCGTTTCACGATGGAGACCATCACTTCCTGGAGGACAGAAGGAACGGGTGGGGCGGGTGTGGCAGGCAGTGTGGGAGGCAGCCACGGTTTCCTGGTCTGGCCAGAGGGAGGCTGGGCTGGCGGGGTGGGGTGGGGCTGCCTGCTGAGGGGAGCAGCTGGGGGAGGGGCCAAGGTGGGGTGCCGTGCTCTCTGCCCTGCTCGGGGATCCAGCACAGAGGACGAATGGGGTTTGCATGAAGGGCTCGGTTTGGGTGGGATCGAGTGTGTTGAGGGTCAGTGACATTTGAGGAATGGCTATAGGAGGTGCTGAGAGATCGGGTGCAGAGAAGGGCAGTAGAGACTAAGGTGGCCTGGTTGGTGAGTGAGCGTTGGGCTCTGTGTGAGAAATGTGGATTCCACATTGCAAGTCAAGGTCCCCTGGGACAGAGGAGATGTGGGTTCCTGGGGGCAGCTCGGGGGCACCCTCCCTGCCCTCCTCGAGGTGCCGGAGCCCTGCAGCCTCCCCACTGGGCCATCTTGCCCGTCCGCTGGGAGTGTGGACCCTTCTGCCCTCTGTGGGCCTTCTTCCATCCTGCCTTGTCTCTCCTCTGCTTCTGAGCAGAGCCCCAGCGTGGTGTCCAGCACCTGCCTTATAGGGTTGAAGCTCCAGGAGCGGGTACTGGGAGGTGGAGGGATGGAGTCACGTCTCCTTTGGGTGTCCCCTTGACCACCCATCAGGGCCCCAGGGGGCCACTCTCTTGGGTGAGCATTGGTGTGCTGCCTCCTCGGCCGGGGACACTGTTGATCATCCACTGGCGCGATGGTTCCTTGCTGGGGTCCAGCCCTGTTTGGAAGCTTCCGCGAATGCCCCACAATGGAAGGACCCGATGTGCTGAGGGGTTCTGGGCCAACTCCACCTTGTCCCCACCTCTGCCCCCTCCTTCTTCATTCTTGGACTGTCCCCACCCCGGCTCTTCCTCTGGGTGACTCCCTGGGTTCCCCAAGAACAAGGCAGCAGGTCAGAGCAGAGCAGCGCAGCTGGGACTCCATCTGCCTTCAGAACCTGGGTTCTCTCGGTGTTCCCCACAGAGCGGGCGTTATCTGCGGGTCTTCCTGCCACTTTAGCAGGTGACTCCCATCCTGCCCTGCTGATGCTCGGTGGCTGGTCCCTATGGCCCCCCTGACCCCTGAGCTTTCTTGGTTCCCTGCCACGGTCCTTTTGGGTCCCGATGTCATTGTCACTTCCCAGCTCCTTTCACTCACAGGATCATCCAGCAGGAATGGTGTGTTTTGAAGCACTGGAGTGGTGGAAACTCTGGCTGCGGACCCCAGGCCTGGCTCACTGCTGACCCTCCATGCCGGCTCTGCCGTGACAATGCAGCGGGAAGGCAGGGAGGTCTGGTCACTGAGGCGTGGGCATGGCCAGCCTGTGTCAGTTCTTGGCCCTCACCGCACCGTCCCTGCAGTTCTTCCACCCACCGGGTCACGGCCATGTGCTGCCTGGCCAGTGCAGTGGTGGGAATGCTGGTGTCCAGCTCCAGAGATGGCCCTTTCGCTGCCGGGATAATGGGGGTCTTTGGCCTCCTAGGGACTGTCCTGTTCAGCCCTGCTGCAAGCTTCTTGCCTGGGCTGTTGCTTCTCTGACCTTCTGTCCCTCCTGCCTAGGCCGACTCTTGCCTTCTGAACTTGACCTTTGGACTCCTTGACCTGGGGGGGGTAGCCTCAGCCTTTTGGAGGTGTGATTCTGTTCGAATGGTGGCCTGTTGGGGCCACAGATCCGTGCCCCACTGTGCAGCCACCCCTCATATATTGCTGTTCCTCTCGGCATCTGGCCTGCTGTCCTACCCGGTGCTGCCCACGTGATCCCTGAGTGAGTCGATTCACTTGTCAGATACTTTCTGAGCACCTGCTGTCTCGGTCAGGCATTGGGGACAGTGATGGTCCAGGGCTGGTGCAGTCTGTGCCTCCATGAATCCATAGGCTGGAGACAAGTTGCACGGTAATCCAGTGCTCACACAAAGAAGTGTGTGTTGATAAACTGAAGTAGACAGGCAATTCTGTAAGAGCATTTATCAAGGAGTCTGACCTTTTCTGCATGGTCAGGGGCGGTGTCCTGAGGTGCGTGTCAGAGGCAGTGATGTTTTGATCTGAGATGTGAAAAGTGGCCAAGAATGAATTGTATAGGGGTGGGAGGAAGAGAAGAGCAGATGGGGTGGTTTTGTAGGAGGAATTGCCTGTATGAAGGCCCTGAGGGAGAACAGAGCCCACAGTGCTTCCAAAAGCTAACAGGAGGACTTCCTGGCAGCCTAGTGGTAAAGACTGCGTGTCCAGTGCAGGAGGCACGGGTTCAATCCCTTGTCGGGGAACTAAGATCCCCACCTGCTGCATTGCACAGCCAAAAAGAAAAAGCTGAAAGGAGGTTGATGTGGCTGGAGCATACAGGATGGAGGGTGGGAGTCCCCCGGGCCACACAGGGAATTTCATTTTATTTAGGCTTTAAAAAACATTAATTTTATTTATTTATTTATTTCTGGCTGTGCCTGGTCTTCGTTGCTGCTCAGGCTTTTCTCTAGTTGCGGTGCATGGGCTTCTCTTCGCAGTGGCTTGTCTTGTTGTGGAGCACGGGCTCTGGGGCATGTGGGCTTCAGTAGTGGCTCCTGGGCTCTAGGGCACAGGCTCAATAGTTGTGGTGCATGGGCTTCGTTGCTCCATGGCATGTGGGGTCTTCCTGGATCAAGGATCCAACCTGTGTCTCCTGCATCAACAGGCAGATTCTTTACCACTGAGCCACGAGGAAAGCCCTTTATTTAGACTTTTAGTTAAAGATTCTCATTTGCTTTATTGTGTTACTCTCTGATGAGACAAATGCTAGATTTTTTTTCCCTCTCTTATCACACTACTTTATATATTAGTTATTAGGGTTAGTCGCTCTGACTCAGTCGGAGTCGCTCGCTCAGTCGTGTCTGACTCTTTGTGACCCCATGGATTGTAGCCTACTGTCCACAGGGTTCTCCAGGCAAGAATACTGGAGTGGGTTGCCATACCCTCCTCCAGGGGATCGTCCTGACCCAGGCATCGAACCCGGGTCTCCTGCATTGCAGGCAGATTCTTTACCGTCTGATTCACCAGGGAAGCCCATTATATATATATGTATATGTATGTATACATACACACACATTACACAGAGTTTACAAAGAAATTATAAAGCAAATTGCTGCGTGATCCCAGGAGCTCCAGGAGCCATACTAGTCTCTTGAGCAGGAGCGACAAGATCAGACGTGACAGGCTGGCCAAGGGAACCTGCGTAGGTAGGTTCAGGTTCTGGCAGATTTGAGGCCTGGAGCATGCACTGGTGGGAGAAGAGGAGCTGAGGGGACCGGCCAGCAGGCTCTGGGTCTGCTGATGGGCTCAGATGGCTGAAGGTACCCATTGAGTGGATGGCTGGAACGGGGCTGGTGGGCTGAGCCAGGCGGAGCAAGAGTGTGGTTGGGGACCCCGTGGACAGTGGGGTGGGGAGGCCGCTCCAGGAGACAGCTGAGCTCTTCTCTCCCCAGTCCTGGCCCCAGTTTGGAGAGCAGCTAGGGCATCCACTGCACTGTGTCTTTAAGAGGCTCTGCGTCTGTCCTTCCTGCCTCTGACGTCAGGGCCAGGGAGTGCCGAGGAGATTCGCTTTACTTTTCCTGGAAAGGGGAGGAGATTGAAACTGAGTGGCCTCAGGATGGAATGGGGAAACCCCCGGGGTGCAGGAGGCCCCTGATTGAAGGCGGAGACTAACATGGGGTGAGCTTGGGTGCTGTGCTGTGCATCAGAGACAGACAAAAGAGAGGAAGAGAGTGGGAGAGAGAGAGATTAGAGATTGGTGGTGGTGGCCCTGCAGTCATGTGCCATTGATCGCGCTCCTGCGTGTGTGTCTGTGTCTGTGTCTGCATCCTCGGTCAGCAGAGGGCCTAGGAGGAGCTTGCGGTGAAGGGCAGTTGCAGGCCCCTCTGCTTAGGCAGGCGGCACCTCCTGACTCCCACGGTTCCTGTCTTGGGGCCTTGGTCTGGGTCTCACAGTGGTCAGTGGCTCCTGTTTTATGAATGCAGTTGGGTATTTTGAGTCTGGGGCGTGGAGGGTCTGTCCCTAGTCCATCCTAAAGCTGTGATGTCAGCTGGCCTATGAGATGGAAGGCCCTCCACCCAGGGCGGGGAAGTGGGGGGACCTTCCCCTCAGCCTTTCCCCCAGGCCTCAGGGGAGCCTACAGCTCACAGCTCACCAAGCCCCTTCCATGTTTTAATGGAACAACTGGTTGGTGCAGTTCCCTTTTACTGGAAGGAATACTGCTTGGCCTCTGGGAACAAGGGAGGACACCAGGGGGCTGTGACTGCTCTTGAGAGTCGGCTTTGGTGAACTTCCTGCCCAGGGCCAGCCTTCTCAGGTGGCAGACTCTCCACTCAGGCCTGGGCCTTGCGTAGGCAGGGAGGCCTCCTCTCGCCTGGCTCTTGGTTGACCCACCTGCCTGCCCCTCTGGTTGGAGCGAGGGTGTATGAGGACATCTGGCACGGTGCTTGGCATCCTGCAGGCTCACCGTCACTCTGGGGGCCTGCAGCCGTACCACTCCCCACCGTCCTGGCCATACTGGCCTCCCTGCTTCTGGAAACTTCTCCCTGTGATTCATCACCTGTGCTTCCTGAGTCATTTTCCCTTCAACCCTTGCCTCCTGTAATGGCCTGTGGGCTCCCAGAAGCCATGAGTTGGTCTGTCTCGCTCACGTCTGAGTTTTGCATTCAAGTCACACAAGGCCTGGCTGGTGGTGGGTACGGGGTGTGCATGTGCTGCTGGCTCGGTGGAGGCGGACGAGACGTGTGTATGGGGGAAGAGACCTGACGAGCCCTTTCCCAAGCTCCTGAGGGGAATCCCAGGCGCAGCCACGGTCAGCCCCATATACTTGAGGAAACACTTGAGGGTGAAACAGGTTCAAGCTCCACACCCCAGAAGTGGCTTTATCTGTGTTGCCCAGTCTCCTCCGGCTAGAGGGGTGCTGTCTGGGAGTGGGTGTGGTGTGGGTTGCTGGTCCTGGGTAGGGCCGAGAGGCCCTGGATTTTGACTGGCTTTATTTAGGTTCTTTTTTTTTGGCCGTGTGCGGTATGTGGGATCTTCGTTCCCTGACTAGGGATTGAATCCATGCCTCCGGTAGCGGAAGTGTGGAGTCTCAGCCACTGGAGCATTGACTGGCTTTCTGTCAGGTTTGGCACAGTGATCGCCATTGGGGTGACCCTCTTTGTGATCGCCGTGGTCACCGTCATCGTCTGCTGCACCTGCTCCTGCTGCTGTTTGTACAAGATGTGCCGCCGACCGAGTCGTAAGCATCTCCCCTCTGCCCCACAGTGACCCCTTGGGGTCAGGTACAGACCCTGGGTGGTGGTGGTGGGTTTACCAGGGCCCTGACTGGCCTGAGCTGGAGGGAGCGGTGGCCAGCCTGGCGGTCCTGACTGGGGCTTTCTTTGCAGCGGTTGTGACCACCACCACGGCCACCACGGTGGTGCACACCCCTTACTTGCAACCGCCCAGCTACCCTGGACCAACATACCAGGGCTACCACTCCGTGGTCCCCCAGCCGGGGATGCCAACAGCACCCTACCCGACCCAGCCCATGGGCCCCCCCGCCTACCACGAGACGATGGCTGGTGAGTATGCCTGCCGACTCCCGCCGTGCCTGACCCCCTGCAGCCATGACCACAGCTAACTGGTGTCCTCTCCGTTTTCAGGAGGTGCAGCCCTGCCCTACCCTGCCAGTCAGCCTCCTTATAATCCGGCCTACATGGAGCCCCCGAAGGCAGTCCCCTGAGCACGCCCTGGCATCTCTGGCTACCAGCTGATCTGTCCTGTGTGTGTGAATGGGTGTGCGGGTGCGGGCCTCTTCTCCCCGGATGTGGTGTGTGTGTCCCGTTTGTACCTGAGGCTTCTGGTGATGGCGATGACGGGTGCGGGAAGCAGTCCATGTCAGAGTTGCCGGGACCATGCTGTGCTCCCCTCCTCACTTGAGATCATGCTGCCCGGAACCCCACAGAACAGTTCTTTTCCAGCCACCCCAGCGAGACCTGGGGCCGGAGCAGGGATGCTTGTCGTGCTAGGACAGCACAGCTTTTGTGCGGGCAGGATGCACCCGTCCTCCGGTTTCTGTAGCAGGACTAGCCGTGGCACGAGGCCAGGGCTTGTCCCCAGGTTTGTCTTTGAAGCACCAGAGCCACGGTGCGGGCTAGTGGGTGAGGCTGAGGACCTGGCTGCAGGTGGGTCTCGACCTTTCCCGTGGCTCCTGCAGCCTGGGCTGTGCCCTGTGGAGGGTGGGTGGCCACCTGATTATCTGAACGCCTCAGGTGGAGCCCCACCCTTCCTGAAAACTATCTTCCTGGATCCTTCTTGCACCCTTCCTGGGACCACCTGGAGACCCCCACTTACCCATGGTTCTGGTTGCCCCGGTTGGCCCTGGCCCCTTTCACAGGTGGACAGGGCAGCCTCTGACCACTTATCCACTCAGGTGTCCTCCCTGCAGTGTTTTTACTTTTAGCTAAATATTCTACCTTGTTTTCTGTTTCAAAATGTGTATAAGGGTTGCTGTGAGGCTGAAACCGTTGGGTCCTAGAGGGAGACTTCCCCAGAGAGGAGAGGGACTCAAGAGTCCCTGCTTCCCCATCACCAGTCTCACAGACTACCCGGCTGCTGGACCCCAGGCCTAGGTATGTCCTGGCAGCGGGTACACCTGGGCCAAGGTGTCGTCTGGACCAAAGGTGGAGGGGACCCTGAGGGGGCTCCTGTGACCTAGACACATACCTCGGTGTTCCCCACCCCTCTGTTCGTGTCTTACCACGTTGTAGGTCGGGACCTCTTAATGTGTTTTGGAGTCTCGGGTCTGCACCCTTGTTTGTAATAAATGCAGATATTTCAAGCTGTTGCCTCCTTTCATTGTAGCCCTGGCTGCTGGGATTGGGGGTGAGGCTAGCTATCATTTCCCTCCAGTATTTGAAGTTCACGGTCTCCTACTTCTCTTGGACTCAGAAGTCTGACCGTCCTGGTAGGAAGGGTGCTGGACAAAGACTGCCATTTTCTGTGCCCCTGGCCCCAGGTCTCTGAGTGTGGGCAAGAGGCTGTAAGGCCATCACGGAGGGTAGAGGTGAGTGATCACTCAGTGCTGTGGGGGTTTTTTATTAGTCAGACTTCCCTTCCTGGCCTACTGCCCGGGTATGGCCAGTGACAGCCCATACAGCGTGGCTACCGCCAAAGTCAGGAAGGCCAGCAGGCCCAGAGGGGCCAGCAGCCCCTCCCCGGGTGGGGCTCCAGGGCGCTTCACTGGGGAAGAGGTTGGCCTGGGGCTCCTGTCTCCACGAAGGTTGGGGCCGGTGTCGCTGGCTCTGGCCAGGGGCACTGTGGCTGTGACAGCAGATGGCCTTGGGTCGGTTCGAGTAGAGGTTGTGACCACGTACATTGGCTTGATGGTACTGAAGGGCTTGGCATGAGCATCCACCCACCGTAGCAGGGCCCGCGGCCTCCACTGACAGACGCTCAGCAGGGCGAGCACGTCTCCCTCGGCAGTGTGCGAGTCTGGCGGGGCCTGCCCGTACAGGCGTGTGTAGATGCTGCCCAGGCTGTAGCTCTTCCTTGGGCCGTGCTCCGAGGAGCTGCCAGCCGGCTCCAGGGCCTTCAGGGCAGCGATGCTGTCCGCACAGAAGGCGTCGTCCAGAGCACTGGCCAGGCCCAGCAGCGCCAGCTCAGCCCGGAGCAGGGGGAAGTCGTAGCGGTCACCATTGTGGGCCACGAGGCACCAGGGCTGTGGCTGGCGCTGCAGGAAGGCGCGGATCAGGTTGACCAGGTCGGTGTCAAAGGCCCGACGCCCGTGGGCAGCCAGCACTGCGGTGCTCAGGCCCGTGATCTCGCTGGCCGCGGGGTTGCACGCCTTCCCTGGAGCCACGCACAGGGAGAGCTTGTCCAGCACCCGGGGCGGTGGAGGCGCTGTCGGCGCAGGCCCCTGAGGGGCGGAAAGGCCCTCCAGGGCATATCTGTGGACGGCCAGCAGGCACAGCTCAGTGATCTTGGGCTGGGAGAAGGGCAGGCCGGTGGCCTCCAGGTCCAGGAAGATGAGGGTCTGCACAGGCCCTGGGGGCAGGGCCCGCGAGCCCATGGTGGGTGTCCGCCGCTGAGCCTGCGGAGGAGCAGGGGGTTGGGGTGGGAGGGTGAGTGCCCGCTGACGGGCAGTAGGGCGGGTGGGGTGGGAACACCTCTCTGGCCTTCCCTGCCCCATTAGGGCCTGTTGCTGAGCTCCAGCACCCACTTTCAGGCAGGAAGACAGAGAAGGTAGGATGGCTTCTTTAGTGGGACCCGCTCACTCGGCTGTTCAGGTGCAGGCTCAGCTCCTCCCCTGGTGGCCTCTTAGTGTGGGGGGTACCCACGGCCCTCCCACCCTGCCTCATTCCCTTGGGGGTTCTCACTTACCAAGGAGCCGGCAGGCAGCAATGACTCGGGGTGCACACTCTGCCTGGTTCTTGCTGCCGGCAGCAGCAGTGGCGGGAAGTGAAACTTGGTCTGAGCCCGCCCAAGGGCTGGTGTGAGCATGGCCCGCCCCGCTTGTCAGCTGGCTTGGGCTATCCCTCCTACCAGCACCCGTCCCTCCCCAGGCACCCGCAGGGCTGCCCCAAAGGCCTCAGATCTCTGGCTCTAGGCCCACTGGCTAGCACGGTGCACCGGGGCTCTCGCACGCTCATGGTGGGAGGACCAGGCTATTGGGGGAGGCTGGCTCCATGACTCGGCCTGCCGGGAGACCCCCTGCCGTGGCCATTTTTCACCCAGTCCATGGCCCCACTTTCCCAGGCCTCCCTGGTTTAGGCCTGGGCTGAGGGCTGCCTCCACCCCTGCACACAATGGTTTCTTCCTGTGGCCTCAGGAGAGAGGGATGACTCAGGGCAAATCCACAAGCGGGCAGGGCTCCTTCCCCAGGGCAGATTCATCCCCGCGGTGCTGAAGCTCAGCTCTGGCAAGGCCCAGCAGGGATCTCAGCCTTTCCCGGGTCCCCCTCCTCTGGCGTTCCCGCTCTGCCGACGCTGAGCAAACTCAGGAAACAGAAGGCTGGCGCGTTCTCAGCCAGTCAGTGGTTTTAATCAGAGGAGGGAAGGAAGGGCGGGAGTGGCTCTGGTGCCACCGTGTGGCCGGTGCTCACAGGCCTCAGTTACAGTCCATCTCAGGCTCATCCACATCGGTCTCCACGGCACAGAGATCCTCCAGGGCCGCCTCTGAGGCAAAAACCAGAAGGTTCTGTGGTGACGGCCCAAAGGCGCCGGGACTGGGGGTGGCCCCACCACTCCGCCCGCCCCCCAGGCCCACAGGAACTAACCAGTCCCTTCCACGCCCAGACCTCGCTCCCTCAGCTACTGCAAGCAAAGTGACACAAAGGCAGTTCAGACAGGGATGCTTCTGGAAAAGCCGTGGCTCTGCCAGGCTGACTCAGTAGATACGAGCCAAAGGCAGGCTGATATACTGAGAGGAGCCAGAGCAGGAAGGAAAGGGTGGCCCGGTGCCGGCAAAGGCTGTGTGGATGGCGGGCCGCTGACTTAAGGCCAGGGGGTCTGACTGGCCCGGGGACTTCAGGGCCGACCCCGCGTGGGGGCTGGGGTGGGGGGTTGGGGCCCTCCCGCGGGCTCACCTTCACAGTCAGTTACGTCAGGAAGCCCTCGAATCAGCGTGCTGACGCCGGGCATGACCTGGTCGTACTGGTGCAGGACCTCCACGCAGTGCACCGTGAAGAGCTTGTCCTTCTGGGACAGGCCGTGCAGCAGGAGCACTGTGTCCCGCAGACACCGCACTGTGCGCCTCTGCCGCTCGGTCCTCGGGGGCCCCCCTGTCCGCCGCACCGTCAGCCACTGTCTGTGCAGCATCACTGTGAGTGCTCTGACCACCTGCGGGAGGGCACGGGCGGAGGTCAGGGCATGTGGTCTCTGCACCTGGACCACCGGCTTGGCGGGGCGGCCCCAGTCCTAGCCTTCCCCCAGGGTGAGGAGGGTTCTGAGCGGTGGCACCAGGGTCCAGCCCTGATGAAGGAGCATGGGATGCTCTCAGACGGCCCCGTCAGCCACCAGCAGGGCTGCCCGCCGCCAGCCCCCTTCCGCGCCCGGCACTCACCTCCACGTTGCACTGGCAGCTGGAGCCAGTGACTGGGGAGGAGGGGCTCTGCACACTCAGCTTGGCCAGGAGCCACACGGCCTAGAACAAGAACAGACTCGGTTCCATCCACGCCAGAACGCCACCCAAGTTCCGGTCACAGCGAGGGCTTTCTCAGGCTTCTTGCAGAGCTCCAGTTGCCTAAGCAACTGCCTGTCTGGAGAGGCCCTTGGACTGCAAGGAGATCCAACCAGTCCATCCTAAAGGAAATCAGTCCTGGATATTCACTGGAAGGACTGATGCTGAAGCTGAAACTCCAATACTTTGGTCACTGATTCGAAGACCTGACTCCTTAAAAAACCCTGATGCTGGGAAAGATTGGAGGCAGGAGGAGAAGGGGATGACAGGGGATGAGATAGTTGGATGGCATCACTGACTCGATGGACATGAGTTTGAGTAAACTCTGGGAGTTGGTGATGGACAGGGAAGCCTGGCATGCTACAGACCATGGGGTCGCAGAGAGTCGGACACAACTGAGCAACTAAACTGAACTGTCTGCACTGATGGGATCCAACAGGTGATGGTATCCTGGGCCTTCCCAGGAGATGCTCAGGACCAAGACCTGTGTCTCACCAATGACCCCTGCCTCCAGGCCCACCTCCAGCTGCCAGGCTACCCTGTCAAGTCCCAGGATACCCTGGGTCCATGTGTGTTGTATCTGTATAGTAGGGGGCCCCCCAAAACGAGTCTTCCTTGTTAGTCTCTAAATGCGTCACCGATGTGAATGAAAGCCCCTTTTGTCCCCTGAGAAGGAGGAAAGGCGCCCCTCCGGCGGGGCGGGGTGGGGCGGGGAGGCGAGCCGTCCACAAGGGGCTCTGGTGCTTCCACCTCTTGCTCCAGCTGCAGCCACTGCGCCTCGGAGGCGGCTCCGTCAGGTCTTGACGTGATGTACATGTACAGCAGCAGCAGGAGGCAGCCTTCTGGAAGGGAGGCCCCACTCACACTCAGGCTCTGCCCTCCCACCCACCGCCTGAGGTACAAGCTGGGGGAGCCCTCAGGAGGTGCCTGGCCCGTCCCTGCCACCCCCGTCCCCTCAACCAGCCGGAGCTGTCCGGGTGCGTGCCCCCCGCCCCCGGACCAGAGATCTAGCAGAGATAGATCTCTTCCTGCCTTTGCTCCCAAATAGGGAGCCAGGTCTTGAGCTGAGCATGAGAGGAGAGTCCTGAACCCACCACCAAAGGACTGGCTAGATCTGGCCCCCGGACCAGAGATCTGGCCTGCTTTACCTGAGTGGGAGCAGAGCTGAGGTGCGAGCTTCTCGTGGTCCACCAGGAGGGACAGGAGCTCAATCGTCAGCAGCACGCTGGGCAGGGGCGTCTCTGGGCGCAGGCATTGCGGCAGCACCCTGAACACGCACTGGAACCTGAAACACAGGGGCCCAGAAAGACGTGATGCCTCCAACCCAGCTCTGTAACTCACCCTCTTCTTTTTCACTGTCAGTAAAAGGAAATTGAAGAGGCCAGGGAAGAGGAGACTGGATTCAGATAGACCTGGCTTCAAATGCTAGCCTGAGAACAAGTGGGTTACCCTTCACTGCGGGGCTGCTGTAGCTGAAAGAGGACAGGTCCTTGCCTGGCCTAGTGCCACCTCGAAAATACGAGATGCCTCCCTGGGCCTGGCAAGCCAGCCTCCACACTGCTCCCAGCTCCTTCCTGCCTTTGCTCCCAAATAGGGAGCCAGGTCTTGAGCTGAGCATGAGAGGAGAGTCCTGAACCCACCACCAAAGGACTGGCTAGACTCTGGTCCGATCTCATGACATCACTTGCCAAGCAAGGCAGACTTCATTTTCTCCGCTTGTCAGGAAACACTAGCTCCTCTGCACCCACGTATGTGAAGGTACTCACTTGAGGTGTGCATGGTGAGAGGCTCGGGCACTCTTCCCCCAGTCTCGGGGCAAAGAGCTGGCCCAGTCATTACCAGGGAACCAAGTCCCAAGATAAGCACTACTGTTGGCTCAACCCACACAACCTCCTAGGTGGCGGGGGAGTTCTATGGGTGTGTCCCCTTTCATACAAGGAGGTTAAGAATATTCCCTGTGTACCATTAGGGAGCAAGGTCCATTTGGGGCAAACTCATGTGAGAGCAAATCCTGTACGATAGGCAGGCTGAATGTTTCTAGTCACCAGGGAGTATGGAACTTGGTGGAAAACTGGAATTCCCAAGTACCCACTAACGAGTCACCTAATTTCATTATTAGGCTAGAAGTGGCCCACTGAAACTAAAACAAAAAAACCTGTCTATATATACAACACAGTTATTTCCAAATTAGTTTTTGATAGCATCAGAGCCTACTTATTTTAAATGTTTTTTTTTTTTTTTCTCCAGAGCCCCCCAAATGCACAATAACAGTCGTGCTACTCTGCTTGAGTTGGGGATGAGTCTTTTTTGTTCAAAAGCACCTGCCAGAAAAAAAAAAGAAAAAAGCCCCTGCCATGCCAGTAGGTGGAGAGCAACCCTGGACGACCTAACTGCTACACCAGATGGGGTAGAAAGATAAAACTCGGGGGATGACGTGCTCTCAAGCCTAGGTGGGCAGTGGTACGCTTTGTAAGAGACCACAGCCTGCCTGTACAACATATGCTTTAGAGCCTTGGTACCACCTGTCCTAGGCCTCCCTCGTGGCTCAGATGGTAAAGAATCCACCTGCAGTGTGGTCTGATCCCTGGGTTGGCGTGGGCATGGCAACCCACTCCAGTATTCTTGCCTGGAGAATCCCCATGAACAGAGGAGCCTGGCAGGCTACAGTCCCTGGCGTCACAAAGAGTCGGACTGAGCGGCTAAGTACAGCACAGCACCTGTCCCTGGCTTTTGCTTTTACTCCAAGATGAACAGGAAGCTGTGTGGTAACGGAGTTCAGCTTGTCAGCATGAAGGAATTCGGAAGGGAAGTACTGCGGGGAAGTGGCATCAGCAAAGGGCGTCTACAGAGACCAGCCATATGGCACATACTGATTGTACTGTCTGCTGTTGTGACATAGCCAGTCTCCACCAGTCCTGCATACTGTTCGAAGTAATTTTTTTCTATGAACAATCCCTTTTTAAATAAATCAAAATGCTTAAAATCTGAATGGATGGAATTTAAAAGTACTTTGTTGAAACAGCAACCTGGGCAGGAAAAAAAAAAAAAGACATGTAAAATTTTGTTATTTCCAGTCTGTATATGAAAAATAGGTCATCTAAAGGAAAAAAAATAACTTTGATTAACTAGTGTTAAACAAAAAAGATAGGTTTACTAAATATGTTAATCTATCCCTTTAACATAAGCCTCACCTTTCATTTTAAAGGTTTCCATAGAAATTTAGTTATTTTATCTTTCAGCCATGTGCTGTTTTTTTTTCCTCTTGCCAACATGTGTAAAAAGGGAAGTCAATTACAAGTGCAAATAATGTGGTATTCTTTTGTGACTCAAGTCTTGAAATGTTCTGTAGTGTTAAGCAAAGTCTCCTCTTGCCTGATACTAAATAAATGTTTGAAAGAAAAAAAAAGTCACTCGGGAGCCTCGCTGGCTTGAAACCATCTAATCGTTTCGGACAAGACTCCCTAACTCAACACGGACTGTATTCACTCCGCAAACACCGAGGGCTCACAGTGAGCCAGGCTCTGTGCTGGGCGGGAGGACGCAGGGCTCTGAGGGTGCCACCTGGGCTTGTGAACAGAAGGCACTTGTCTGGCCTGCAGTAAGCACCCATGAAACGGCTGTTTTTTCATGTCACAGATAAGGTCAACAGGAATAGAATGGTGATCTGTCTACCAAGATAACTGGTAAAAATGTGCTTCCTGGAGTTCATTCATTTGAAAAATAAGAAACCAAGATGCAAGGATTTTTCAGTTATCCACAGATCAAT